GGGGGGGGGGGGGGGCTCTCGCGTGTGGCAAGCTCAATGATCGATAGAGGTGACAATTTGATTTTGACTATCGGAGACGTTGGAACTCTATGGACCATCTGCGGATGTAAAACAAGACACCATTTTTTGACCAATCTCTTAATTGAGAAAATTCGTCTTTTAGCCTTAGGGCTATCGTAGAACCTCTTTACAGAACTATAGTGAGAACTTGGTAGTTTAGCCTTCAGCTATAGCAGAAACTTCTTTACTGGGCAATCATGGCAGTGATTTAAGGAGTCTTCGTACTCTTTTATTAATCGTTAGAAGTAAATCTTATCTTAATATTAATTTTAGACCTAAAAATTGTGTGACACAACTTTTTAATGAACTAATTTTAACAATTTTTGTAGTATTGTTTTTGGGGGATGATATGTCAGAGGACTTTAGTACCTCCCATCTGTAAACATTCTTTACAATAAAGATTGAATAAAAAAATTATGAAAAAAAAAATAATATTTGAGCATTGCTTTTTTGCTCTTTTTGTTTCTTCCAATATTTTCACAATACATTCATACTTGAATTTTCATTTTTCCTTGGATCTTAGTACTTTACAGGATAAATTATTTTTCTCTAACTTCTTAGTCAGTTGTTTCTCTATCCCCTGTCCCCCTTCAGTATGGTGGATCAAAATTATAGACTTTGAAAGGGGAAACGCGTATCATCGAAAAAAATTGAATGTTCAAATGAGCCCCATATGAAGTACCAAAAATTTCACCTCCTAAAATTGACCCCCTAGTGCTGCAGATAGACCTAAAGGGCCTATAGAGGTTGTCCCATTTTCCATAAGAAATGGCCGCAAGAGCTTTTCCATCCTTACTTTCAGGAATCATATCGTATCATTGGAGAGGCCTAAATCCGGTGTCATTTCTCGTCTAGCCCTCCACGGGGAGGGGGGAGGGGGGTCAAAGGTCAAACGCTCCGACCGCCATAACTTTTGAACGAATCATTGGATCAACTTGATCTTGGGTTCAAATGAAAGCTCTTGACAAGACCTTTCATTTGATGTATAGTATTGTCTGTTTTTGGTAATTTTTCAATGTAAAAAAAATCATTGTTTGATTTTTCAAGCCCAAAAAATTCAGTTTTTCGGGGTTTTCTTTAATTGGGAACGCATGAATCATTACAAAAACCAGTTTAAGTGAAAGCCCTTGATTCAAGCTTTAAGACGAGCTATCGTTGAACCTGGGGAAATGAATAGTTCAAAAGTTATGACCGTTCAAAGTTGGCATGGCGCGCCATTTTCGAAGCGCAACCCCTCCCTACCTTTTCGCCTGGTGCCCAATTCAGCTGATAACGGATACAGAAAGGTCCAAAGCTCCTTCCACTTAACAAATGACCAATCATTAGTGCAAAATTACTTTCATTTCTAACAAAAAAAGGAAATAAAAATAAAGTAAATGCTAATAAACGACAAGATGCTGGCATACATTATTTTTTTGCCCCCCCCCCTCCCCGCATGATTTAATATTAAATAGCCAAATCAAGCCTCTCATCATTGCGGTATCTGATTATTCCCGTGCAGGTAAATCTTGATGAGAGGGGAATAGATTGGAGAGAGGTGAGGGAGAGATATTCAGTAGTAAATGCGAGTTTCAAGTGCTGGTCGGCTGGTTGCGTATTAGAGCCTATGAATATTATCAACAGCTTTTGAGTGTATTTTGCAGTAAAAGAGGCTTGATTTGGCTATTAAATATTAAATCATGAGGGGAGGGGGGGCAAAAAAATAATGTATGCCAGCATCTTGTCGTTTATTAGCATTTAATTTATTTTTATTTCCTTTTTTCGTTAGAAATGAAAGTAATTTTGTACCAATGATAGGTTATTCGTTAGGTGGAAGGAGCTTTGGACCTTTCTGTATCCGTTATCAGCTGAATTGGGCACCAGGCAAAAAGGTAGGGAGTAGGGAGGGGTGGCGAGTATACACTCCGCACGCTTCGAAAATAGCGCCACACCAACTTTGAACGGTCATAACTTTTGAACTATTCATTTCCCCGGGTTCAACGATAGCTCGTCTTAAAGCTTGAATCAAGAGCTTTCATTTAAATTGGTTTTTGTAATGATTCATGCGTTCCCTATTAAAGAAAACCCCGAAAAACTGAATTTTTTGGGCTCGAAAAATCAAACAATGATTTCTTTTTACATTGAAAAATTACCAAAAACAGACAATAATATGCATCAAATGAAAGGTCTCGTCAAGAGCTTTCATTTGAACCCAAGATCAAGTTGATCCAATGATTCGTTCAAAAGTTATGGCGGTCGGAGCGTTTGACCTTTGACCCCCCTCCCCCCCTCCCCGTGGAGGGCTAGACGAGAAATGACACCGGATTTAGGCCTCTCCGATGATACGTTATGATTCCTGAAAGTATGAATGGAAAAGCTCTTGCGGCTATTTCCTATGGAAAATGGGACAACCTCTTTCTAATATGTTATATTAAAGGTTCGAACACACATTTCTTTAAAGATTTTGTCAAATTACTGTCCTATAGACTGAAACTTCCGTCCGTTTTGCCGTATCGTGCACGAGTAAAGCACAATTGACCTGTTTTCACCCGATAAAGAGACGGAAGCGCCCTCCAGAACGGCCCATCTACACGTAATGTCGTAAAAAAGAGTAAGTATGGATAGTCAATCTTAATAGATTTTGCCGAATAACGACGCCAAGGGCAAGCATTTCGTCGTTTTAGCGTATTTCTAACCGGTAGCCTACAAACCTGCGTAGAGGGTGTTCAAGGTATGCACGGCGCAGATCGTTGCGCTGCGTCCACTCGGTGCTCGCTTTGATCGTTTGGGGCCGGCCGGTCGGTCTAAGGAAACCCGACGCGACGCGCGGCGGCAAGGTGCCGACACCGGTCGGTGTCTGTGCAGCCGTAATCTCACTGGCAAATTCTGTCTTTGGAAAATTTCAGTTATGGGGAATCTAAGTTAAATAAGACAAGTCACAATCCGCGATTTTTGGAGTAGTAGTGCTGACCCAATGTAATCAGTTTTCGCTCAAGTTTCTTATTGTCACAGGAGCGAGATCGTAACAATAAGAAACTATTAAGCAACTATAAAGAAAGAAAATAATATAATAGAAATTTAGGCCTTTTAGGTCTATCTGCGGTACTAGGGGGTCAATTTAAGGGGGTGAAATTTTTGGTACTTCATATGGGTCCCATTTGAACGTACCATTTTTTTTCCATGATGGATGATACGCGTTTCTCCTTTCAAAGTCGAAAATTTCGATCCAGCCTACCCTCCATCTCACAATGCACAAATTCTGTTTTTTGGATGAAATAACACCCACCCCCTTCCTCTTCAGATGTATTATGCAATATTTGAACACTTTTTTGCTCCAGTAGAACTGTAAACTTAAATGTTTACCTACTCGGTACTTGATTTGTTCAGCTGGGGCGAAAAAGCTTCGATCTATAGCATTTTGAGGATGGACTGAGTTTAAAATGATCTATGCTAGGCAATCCATGTGTAAAAACGCTTTTTCAGAACCGCTAAGATTTTTTAGGGATAGCCGCTTCATAGAAAAACGGGCATTTCTGGGAAAAAATTGAAATTTAAAAACCTGTCCGGTTTTTTGGCGGCCATTTTGAGGCGTTTAAATTCGTTTTACAGAAAGAATCGTACATATCATTATTTGTAGAAATTTTACGAACCTTAATTTTGTTGATAGATTATTTTTCGCCAAAACCAGTCCTTTTTGAGTTATTTACAAAAAATCGGGAGAGGGTCAAATTTTGGGGGCATTTCAGAATAAAACCTCATATAAGATTTTTCTCTTCTAATCGCCGATTTTGGATATAAAGTGCCTGGATTAGTTATAAAAGCTTTAAAAGAAGATATGATAAAGAGCTACTCAGGTAATCGAGGTAATTACTGTCACTAAAAAAATATAAAGAGAGAAGCAACGATAATTTTCTAGACAAAATGCTTCGCAGACTAACAAACTTTCAATACACAAACTTGTCTATGGAGGCATTATTTATATAAGAAAAAAGTAAGGCATTACCTGGGAAAATTATCAAAATGATGTTGAGTGAAAAAGGACCTGGGAAAAGCATGATGAGTTCCATCTTCAGTGCTTAATTTGTGTGTCAAACTACGAACCTGTTTCGAAAAACAAAAACCTCCAGTTAGACTAAAATATGCACTGCTTGATACATAGCACCTTGGAGGGTAGCTGTTGTGGCTTGGTTGTAAGTTAAGATCTCAAGCTCTTAATTCAGAAGCAATGGTTTTTCAGGTAAAGTTCAAAAAATATCTACCTACTGCAGGGGATAGGTCTTTTTAATTCTCAGTAATATTTGCTGAAGGAGCACTGATCTCATCCCCCCCCCTCCCCCGGCTCAAAAATAAAGCTCTTTAAAAAGGTTCGATACATACTCAGATGATGCAGACTTCCTTTATCAGGCTTTTTCCCTGCATGATTTGAGTTACACAAAACGGATTCTGGAGGACTTCATCAGAGGATCGACCCACAGAAATACAAATTTCATGCTCCCAAAGCCCCCCCCCCCTTCCTCCACTTGGTCTTCAATAGGGAGAAAACAGTGATCCATGACCTTGAAAATTGGAGTTCCCAAAAATCTTACAATCAAGTCTTCAATGTTAGAAATTTCTAAAAATGTTGACTAAAACTGACACTGCAAAGTTCAAGACTTGTCTATCCTAGGCTAAAATACGAGCCCTCAAAATAGAGGGACGTGTTTCCTTGGTTCAGTGAACAAAGCATATAGGACCCATTTTCGGCTAAAAAATACCGTAAGGCTGGATTTAAGCTCAACCGATTCTACAAATAAAAAAGTAAATATCGTGTATAAAAAGAAAAATTCCAATCAAATATTACAGTTTTTTCATATCTTTCAACATTCCTCACTTGAAACTTACTGATATTCAAAACTATTACTTATTTGAAAAGTTGACTTAATTACCATCCTTTTCAAGAAAAAAAAAAATTAACTCTGTGTCCTTTACTTGATTTGAGGTGAGTTTTTGAAAACATATCCAATTCTTAACTTCCTCAGACCACTGTGCGGATTCCTCCGACAGGATTTATGGGGACTTCTAGTTAAAAACACCGTTTTCTATGAAGGACTGATTGGGCCTAAATCCAGCCATACAATGATTTTTTTTCAAATGCTCTATTTACTGGACTATCCCTTCACAACATACTAATTGGTCGCAAAATCGGCCTTGGAAAACTGTCTTCAGAAAATCATGACTCTTCTTGTCAACATAGGTAAATTTGCCGCTCAACTATTAACTGACGTGGGTGTGACATTTTGCTAGGTAAGAGCGCCTAAAAATCAAGCTCTTCCGAAGAAAAATCAATTTTCTAGAGAATCAGTGCATGATAGAGAAAAAACAAGGTCATTTTTGGATGCAGCAACCAAAATTACAAGGGAGACCATATACTGCATGCCTATTCAAATTTTCATTCTGTTCCTAATACAGGGTGTTCGAAAAGTCCCCTCCCCCCCTCTAACTTTTGACCTAATTGAGGTAGAGATTTGAAAATTGGAGGGTGTTCCTAGATCAAAGGGAGCTACTTTTTGACCCCCCAAAAATTTTGGGGGGGGCCCCATTTTGGGGGGGTTACGGACCCTAACTTTTAATTTTCAAATGGGAAGACCCCCTTTGTGATACCTCGTTCGAAAGAACATAAAAAAAGAAAATTTTTCGCGCAAACCGGAAGTCATTATCTCAAACCGTTTCAAAATGGCGGCCGGTCAAAGTTCCAAATGACCGAAAATTGGCACCTCTGCTATTTGCACATGGATTTGCTTGAAACTCGGTATCTGAGGGTATTTTGGCACGAGAAAAACGAATTTAACGATAGATTTTAAAAAAAACCCTAATTTTTCAAAATGGCGACCGGTTTAGGCTCAAAAAGGCCGAAAATTTGACAAACTCGATTTTTTTGACAATGGATTCACCTGAAATTCGGTATCTGGGGGTATTTTGACCCGAGAATAACGAATTCAACGTTAGATTTTTAAACAACCCCTAATTTTTTAAAATGGCCGCCGATTAAAGTTCAAAATGGTCAACAATTGGCAACCTCGACTTTTTGCCAATAGATTCGCCTGAAACTCGGTGAAATAACGTCGAATTCGTTTGTCTCCCACACAGATACCCTCAAACACCGAGTTTGAGGCGAATCTATCGGCAAAAAGTCGAGGTTGCCAATTGTTGACCATTTTGAACTTTAATCGGCGGCCATTTTAAAAAATTAGGGGTTGTTTAAAAATCTAACGTTGAATTCGTTATTCTCGGGTCAAAATACCCCCAGATACCGAATTTCAGGTGAATCCATTGGCAAAAATCGAGTTTGTCAAATTTTCGGCCTTTTTGAGCCTAAACAGGTCGCCATTTTGAAAAATTAGGGTTTTTTTGAAAATCTAACGTTAAATTCGTTTTTCTCGTGCCAAAATACCCCCTGATACCGAGTTTCAAGCAAATCCATGTGCAAATAGCAGAGGTGCCAATTTTCGGTCATTTGGAACTTTGATCGGCCGCCATTTTGAAACGGTTTGAGATAATGACTTCCGGTTTGCGCGAAAAATTTTCTTTTTTTATGTTCTTTCGAACGAGGTATCACAAAGGGGGTCTTCCCATTTGAAAATTAAAAGTTAGGGTCCGTAACCCCCCCAAAATGGGGCCCCCCCAAAATTTTTGGGGGGTCAAAAAGTAGCTCCCTTTGATCTAGGAACACCCTCCAATTTTCAAATCTCTACCTCAATTAGGTCAAAAGTTAGAGGGGGGGAGGGGACTTTTCGAACACCCTGTATGGAGGTTTTCCAGACAAGTGCTTCTTTCTGCTCATATAACACCATGTACAACTCATCCGATTGTTTTGCATTGGTAAGGAGGGAAATTTTTTTTCTCACGTGACAAGTGGAATGAACCCTAATCAACTTCTGCCGCTGAGGCCGAAAATAATCTTCGGAAAATCAAGATTCCATTATGAGTTGACTTTTTGAATTTTTTTTTTTAGCTGAAAAAGTGCATTTTCTTGAAAAATCAATTTTTCAAGAATTCGCTGGATTTTGGAAAAAAACGAGGGTCATTTTCGGCTTCAGCGGCGAAAATAGAGTGGGGCAAATCCACCTATTTCGTGAGAAAAAAACAAAATTCCCCTCCTTTCCAACGCAAAACATTCGGATGAGTTTTACACAGTGTTAAATGAGCGGAAAGGAGCACTTGTCTAGAAAATCTCCATATTAGGAACAAAATGGAAACTTAATAAGCCTACAGTACATGGTTTCCAATGTAATTTTAGCTGCTGAATTCGAAAGCGACCTTAGTTTTTCTCCATTGTGCATATTTCCTCCGAAATATTGATTTTTCTGCGTAAAAGCTCGATTTATAGGGATAATTCCGATTTTTCAGGGAAAATCGACCTCACTTGGCAAAACGAAGGTCATATTCGGACTCAGCGCTAAAAATTCGCGCACTAACAGTTAATAATTGAGAGGCAAACAGCGACGCCAAAAACGACCGTTTTTTGGCACAATTTGGGTCAGCGGGGATTTATCTGTAACCGGGCCCAAACGATATCTTATGATACCTTAAAGCTCTGGTATAAATTTTAGCTAGAGTATACGCACAGTTTTTGAGAAAATGGGGGGGGCAAAGTTGCCAAATCGCCAACATTCTGGACAGTATTTTTACAGAAAAAAGACGGGAAAAAAGGACAAAAAATTTACACCTTTGATGGGTTTTGGCTGTAAATGTTTTTATTGGGCCCCTGCGCATATAGCTGTGTTCAATTCCAAAAATTTCGGTCGCACAGTGGTCCAAAATGGGGAGAAATCATGGACAACTCAGGATTCTTTGTCAAATTTTTAAAAATGGAAGTAAAATTGTCAGTTTCTTGCAGTTTTCATGGCTATCAATGTTCTTATCGGTCTTCAATGCATTAAATTTTGTTCAGTTTCACAAATTTTCATCGCACAGTGGTCCAAAATGGACGAATTAGGGGATAAATTAAGATCCTCTGTCAAACTTTTTAAAAATGAAGTAAAACCGTTGGTCCCCTGCAGAGTTCAGATTTTGGAAAAATTCATATATTTAATTTTTTTTTAATTATTACTGTACGTCAGACTGTATTGTTTATAGAACTTTGTTATAGATTAGATTTAGTAGCATGAGTTGCTTCTACATTGCATTAAAAATAATGGGTAAGCTTCTTCACCAAGTCTTGATACTAATCTTTGAGGAAGTTTTTTGTTCATTTTACCTTAGTTTTAGGTATTCTTTATTTTTTTCTTCATTTCTTTTATTTTTTTATTTCTTTTATTTTTTTATTTCTTTTATTTTTTTATTTCTTTTATTTTTTTATTTCTTTTATTTTTTTATTTCTTTTATTTTTTTATTTCTTTTATTTTTTTATTTCTTTCTGCTTTTCTGATTCTTTTTTGTTTTCTGATTTTTTAGTTTTTTTTTGTTTTTTGTTTTTTGGCTTTTTCAATTCTTATTGTTTTCTCTTCTTTTTTGATTTTTTAGTGTTTTCTGTTTTTTTTTTAAATTCTGTTTTTGACTGTTTAAATCTTTTTTAAATTGTTTACCCCATTTTTCCTTATTTTTTTAAATATCTGAAAGTTTGCGTATTTTATTAAAATAATGCTACAAAATCTAATCTATAACAAAGTTCTATAAACAATACGGTCTGACGTACAGTAATAATTAAAAAAAATTAAATACATGAATTTTTCCGGAATCTGAACTCTGCATGGGACCAACGGTTTTATTTCATTTTTAAAAAGTTTGACAGAGGATCTTAATTTATCCACTAATTCGCCCATTTTGGACCACTGTGCGATGAAAATTTGTGAAACTGAACACAATTTAATGCATTGAAGACCGATAAGAACATTGATAGCCATGAAAACTGCAGGAAACCGACAATTTTACTTCCATTTTTAAAAATTTGACAAAGAATCCTGAGTTGCCCATGATTTCTCCCTATTTTGGACCACTGTACGACCGAAATTTTTGGAACTGAACACAGCTATATGCGCAAGGGCCCAATAAAAACATTTACAGCCAAAACCTGTCAAAGGTGTAACTTTTTCGCCCTTTTTCCCCGTATTTTTTCTGTAAAAATACTGTCCAGAATGATGGCGATTTGGTAACTTTGGCCCCCATTTTCTCAAAAACTGTGCGTATGCTCAAGCTAAAATTTATACCAGAGTTTTAAGGTATCATAAGGTATCATTTGGGCCCGGTTACAGAAAAATCCCTGCTGACCCAAATTGTGCCATTCTTGGCGTTGCTCTTTAAAACAGTTTTTTTGGTTGACCATAATAATGTTTTAGTGACAAAAAGTACAATAGAGTTGCAATGTACTGGAGCGCCGATGAAGTCAATCCATGACATGGTCATTCCGAGCCCCTTGTTCGCCGAAAGTGCGAACCGAGTGTGAACCAAACAGCATTTTTTAAGTGGCCTTTAACAGGACAATCCTGGACTCCGAGCGGTTTTCACAATTTATCAATTAAAATCGATAAGTATTTTCGCAAATTTTCGCAAATTATGTTGACCAAAGTCACAGCAAACTAAAAACTGTACGAAATTCCTGGTATTTATGATATCTTACTCTATAGTATAAAATCATAAGGGCGCCGTGTCTAGCTGAAGGTGTAACGCTAATCATGTCACAAACCGGTTTCTCCTCCACTCCCCACTCCCCTCCCACGCGCACGCTTACATGCTTCCCCCGTCTCCAAACCGGGTTTTCCCTAACTCTTAATGATCTTTTAACGATCTCACAATATCTGCATATTAGAGGCGCAAAGCGCCTCTGGGGGGCCGGACCGCGGAGCGGCCAGGGGGCGCAGCCCCCTAGTAAATTGAATACCTAAATATTTTCTGAGCGGAGCCCGGAGCTTTGACTCTGCACATATGGCATCATTGGTACACACTAGTTTCAGGAGTACTGGACAATATAGTCTTAAAAAACGACTTCATCGGCGCTCCAGTATAATGCGACACTATGTTTTTTAATCATTAACTTTTTCAATGAAATCCTTCGATTACACAGGGCTACCCAAAAGCGATTTTTTTATTTTCTGTTTTCTTTATTTTTTCTTTTCCCATTGCCTCATTTATCATATTTCATTTGATATTTCTTCATGGATTTGGGTTTGATAATCATTTAAATTTAGTGAGAAAGCATTTGATTTATTGAATTGTTAATGATTAAAATTTTCTTTCTGCAATGGATAATTTTAATGATGACCCTAAAATGACCGTTTGGGACTGCTCTACTAAAGCAACGTCAAAATGAGCGATATTTTTGTCCAAACTTTCTGTAAGTAGGGGGCCTCTGAGGGCCCTGAGGGATTCTTGAGTGCCCTAAAAACACATCCTTACGCCCTTGCGCCCTTTCACCCTCTCCAGTGACAAGTAAAAATTTTTTGGAATTCTTATCCAAGGATATGCATTTCTCTGTGCTTGTATAGAGACTTCCAAGAGATCAATCTGCTTAAATTTACAAACAGAAATGAGGGACATCTTACATCATGGCTCTCTATTGCTCAAAATTCTTTGTTTCCTAGGCTAAAAAAAATGTCAAGTAGGCTTACTCTATTAAGCAATGTTGAAAACAGATTTTCAGCAGTTAATATTTCAAAGTTATCATCATCTTCATCAGAACTGATGCTGTCAGTGGATTCAATCCTATCTGCATGCGGTTGACATCGGCGTGTGCTGTGCAATGTGAAGCATCTAGGTCTTTCTTCGTCCGCTTCGTCAAAAGAGCTGAAAAAATGTTGCGATATCCGTTAGTGAAAAAAATACTTTGTTGTGTATAGAACGACTAAAACGCTGTACCTAAGAAAGATACTGCTTTCTTGCTTGATCCAGCGGTTTTACATTACATCAAACACCAAAAAATTATTTAATGATGAGAGCAGTTTGTACCAAAGGTTTAGGTCTGTATCTAATTTCAATAACGGGCCTGTTGCAAACTTTTGCTAGAGCAAAAATGAGAGTTACTTCCTATCGATAATGCCTTAAAAATGACGATTAGCGCATCGACAAAGTCTGAAATGCACTCATAACTTCACAATCTGTGTAAGAAATCTGCGTTTTTTTGAGCTTCCCGCCTGAAAAACGATACTACTGCACAGGTGATTATTTTCTAAGAGGAGTCTCTCCATCGTCAGCAATATTCATCATGGCCGACGCTTCCGCAGTTCCGCGCGCAATTCGAGGAGAGTTCCAGGTCAATCAAGGCGGGCGAGGAAAATATGAACATAAACACGCCGATTGTTATCTGGTCTTATCCTGGTCAGGTGTTATCTCGTCCCATCACACGTATTTTGGTGGATTGCCGTTGGCTATGATGAATATTGCCGATGATAGAACGACTCCTCTAACAAAATGTTCACCTATGCTGTAGTATCGTTTTTGCAATGGGAAGCTCAAAAAAACGCTCTTACGCAGATTGGGAAGTTATGAATGCATTTTAGACTTCGCCAATGCGTTCATCGTAATTTTTGAGGCATTGTCTATAACAAACAACTCTTAGTTTTGCTCTAGTAAAAGTTTACATCAGACCCATTCAATACTAATGATACAAGGCTATGATCTCAATGCATGTAGGTTTGGGTGGCACGTTTTCAGGGTTAATTTCAGTGATCCCAGTACGGATTTATCCGTGCCGCGCAGACATTCCCTATACCGACACGAACCGCACACGGACAAAAACCTTATGCGAAAACGCTTCCCTATCTTAAAATATCTGTACGAGTGATGAGTGATGTACAGAATGACGCTCAGCCAATAGCAGCATGGAGAGAGGTCGAGCATACGGATCTCGCAGACGGAGCACCCCGGCACACACTGGTTAATTTTTTCTCTTGAAAACTGGATGCATAAAAGCTGCTGATGAAGGAGAAAATCATAATGTTCTTTCCAAAATTGTTTTAAATTTTCTTTTAAACGTCCAAACAGCAAAAACCGCAAAGCTTACCAAAGAATCCTGATTTGCAAAGGAGAAAGGAACTTATTATCTCGAGGCTAGAAACCAAGTATGTTTAGCATATTCTTGGTGGCATAAATAGAAACCATTCCAGTTTGAGCAATCTTGCATTGGATCAAGAGATAGTCATTCATTGTGGAGAGAATTAATTAACCTAAAATTTGCAGCATTTTAAGTGCAATGTGGCAGTGTGAATGGAAATGGAAAATTTTAGCAAAAAGATATGCATGATTGTTTCATGTATTGGCAATTTCTATCGCCTTTTCTTTGAGAAAGGAGAAAAAAGCCCAGAGTCACTTCAACCGAACACAGGGGCCTTTTTCTCAAATTGTAGCGTTGAATGGCTTGAAATTATTGAGCAAGAAGGAGGTTCTTATTTAACAGGACAATACATAGGTACCTTATTCTGGACACATCATCAGAGGCTGGTGTTACATAGCCTCCACCTTCCACTGCAATTGGTATGATAACTTCTCGTGCTGATTTCCTAATCGGATCTGCTGAACTGCTCACACTTATTTGACTGTCTGAGTCAAAAGTACTTTGCTTGGAGAGACTGGAAGAGGAGGAAGGCAAAATCAATGCAAAAAAAATCAAATCAATGCAAATCAATGTTTAAGGGTAAAAAGTTTGAGAGCATTGGTTATGGCAGTTCGCCGCCAGCACTGAGGTCCTGAGTTGAATCCTGGGAGGTGACTGATATTTGAGGACACTCATGTAAGCTTACTTAAATCCTCCTTTCATAATTATCAGTGACAGTGGATGATCATGCCACTCCAATACTCTGACCCTTTCAGGTAACTGCGTGCAGGAGAGACATAGTCAAGTCACCCAGTAAGTAATCAGTCCGCACTGTTCGACTGAGTTTTGAAAGAATCGTTGATCACTCCTGGCAAGCACAACTGCAAGCATTACCTATTAGTGGAAAATTGAAACGAGTCCAACTCGGTTGAGGCATGGCAGTGCTCCGGAAGACCGCGCTCTGTAGTGTCTGCCACAGTCGTTGATACAACCTGTCATTGGTTTATCAGACGCCCACTTAGCCTTGCGGAGGAAATGTGATAAGTGTCATGAATTCGTGAAGGGCCAGATACACCTACGCGCATCTTGACCCGAAAAGCCGGATTCGATCCTAGTTTGAGCGAGTTATGGGCGGTGAGTTGCAACCTGTTTGGGTACAAAGATTGCCCAACACGACCGAACGCCCCTTCTCGCCGCTCAAGTTGCGCGTCTAGCTTGCAGGTGTATCTGCCCCTTCAGGATTTAGTCCAGGAGAACGGTCCAACTTTAGGGTGCTTGACAGCACGTATACCCGTTGCCTTGGCTCCTAGAGGGCACCTCAGCCGGTCAGCCCGGCCCTTAGATACTACCCATCGACTATTTGAGGGGAAATCAATCATTTTTATTTGACCAGGACACTATACATTCCTAGTTAAAAAAAAATTACATTAAAAAATAATATGGAAGGAATGATTTGCACATCTAATAGAATAGCATTTCAATGGCTGAGGTGCGAAACCACATACCTCCGTTTTCGACGTTGCCGACTTCCTGTCATTCCTAATTTTTCCTTGGAGAACTCGTTGATGTAATTTTTTGACAACTTTCTTGATTTTTCTTCTGTTACCAAAATACTCGGTGTAAAATTCATACTATAAAGGTGGCATGCTTCTCTTCAAAAGAATAAAATTAAAGCAGAAGTTTTGAAATATCTCAATGGAGACACATGGTTTCGCACTTTGACCATTGATTAATCTCTTTGTTCATTCCTGAGGCTGGGTACTTTTTTCCCCGAGTAATTCAAAAAGAAATTAGTCAAACTGAGAGAAAAGAAATACAATTAGATTTTATTTATCTGATCGCGATTTAATGGATGGATCTGCCCATCCTAAATTTGCTGAATTAGAGTGGCTTCACAATTTTACGAATACTTTATTAGTGCAAGTAGTAGAATTTTCTAAATATGCACCTGTTAAGGGAGGACGGAGGGGTGGGAGTTTTAGATACTTCATCCTCGTACTGAATTGGGATAATATGCTCCTTTGTTGATGATACAGGTTTTGCTATTGGCCTGAAAGAAAAAAAGAAAAAAAGTTGCATTATATTTTCTCCTCGAAATAAAGACATAATCAAAATGACTAATTTGATGTAAAGATGTTACAGACAGAGGAATAAGAAATTTGGGAGCCAGGTGCTGGATAAAAGAAGTGCACAAATTGGAGAGCTTGAAAATCTACCTGAATCAGTTCCTCATTTTTGGCATCATGTTGACTACATGGTATATATTAGCTCGTAAGAAAGATAGAAAACGAACTATTCCAAAATTTAGGGTATTTTTGGAGAGTAGTAAATACTAGGGGGCCCTGCCCCCTGACCGCTACGCGGCCCAACCCCCGGGAGGCGCCTCGCGTCCTCAGGCCCGCTCCGCGGGCCCTTTACGCATATGTACAGGCAAAAATGTTCTTCCATTTTAATACACCATTTTGTGTTCGAGCTGCATTGATTTCAAAATTTTTGACGTAACACTCAGATTTGAAAATGATGAGGAAAAGCTGGATGTACATAATTTCACAGTCGACTTACTGGAGAAATTTCCATTCATTGCGTTATTTTTAAATCTTAATTTAAAAAAAAAAATCGGATTTCGACCGTTAAAAATTAATAATATTTGGTCCGTCCCGACGCGACGCAGCGCCTACCTTCTCACTTTGTATCTGCTGTAAATATTAGTAGAAATTCAGCAATCAAGTAAATTGACCAATGCCACAAATGGAAGCCGGAAGAATGCAGGAAAATTTGAGTTAAAACCTGATACCTTGGACCTTGAACCCTGAGCGATGCACTGTTCCTCAACTCTTCGGATGAGGCGAGCCCTTCACGAGCTTTTCCATTGTTTTATTGTTTTGTCAAGTCACTCAGGTAGAATCTCACACCTTGACGTTTCTAGCGGAAACGACATATCTCTCACGCTATTAACATTGGACTTAAGTGACTTGAGCTTTAAAAGCTCTACAACATTAAAAGTTCGGGGTTTCATAATTTTTTGCACATCTACATCTACTACAGATGACATACATGTAAAGATCATCCTTATCGGTCCGGCAGTTCGTCAGAAATAGTGCTTCCAAGATTTTGCTTGTGGCTGTATAATAAAGATTCTAATTTATGCAGGTAAGATCTTTCATCTGCCATATTAGTTCTGAATATGGTAAACAAAACTCTGAACTCAACCTGAATTGAGATACTTGCATAAGCACAAGCAGAATGAAGTCAAGTTAAGATAAAGAAGCCGGAATTAAATCTAGGTTTAAGTGTTTACATTGACTCAACCCGGCTTGAAATCCATCATGTTTCCAGAAACTTGGATTTCGTCTGTGGCATAAGCAAGGCTAATTTCATTACAATAATGACTAAAATTTGATTGAAATATCAGAAATTCAAGATCTGCGGTAGTTACATGGGTAGCAAACGCCAAAATTAAAAATGGAGAGTTGCATGATGATGCCTGGGAAGCAAGGTATTGAATCAACAAAAACAAAGCACTCAAACCAAAAGAGAAAAAGAGCACTTATACTCATTGGATTACTCCTACTCTTACATTGAGAAGTACACTTAGTATCAAAAGAAAAAGTCTCAGACATTCTGCAGGATCAATAAATTGAGAGAGAAAAAGAAGAAATCCACCATATATTATTATTTTTAAAAATCATTACCTGAGTAAAAACTCAGAATAAACTACCAAAAGAGGAGGGAGAAAGGGTAAACGGGGGTTGGGAAGGGGATAAAGTGGTATTTTTCTTCTTTCTTTCTTCCTTTCGTTCTTTCTTCCTTTCTTTCTTTCTTCCTTCCTTTGCCCTCTTTAGAGGTGTAAATGGCCTTAGATGCTAAAGCACCGCTTTAAAATAAAATTATTTTACTACTACTACTTCCTTCCTTTCTTTCTTCCTTTCTTTCTTTCTTTTTATTTCTTTCTTTTCTTTTTTTTTCACTTCTTGTTCCGCCTTTCTTCAAATGATTACTTAACATTTATTTATCAATTAATAAGACCCCACCCGACACAAGGTCCAAACTTAGTGAGTGGTTTTATTATGTTACTTTTCTTTTGTTCGCACTTATTTTAAGAAGCCCTAAATAATCTAGCTAAACTGTAAAAAAAAGGAGCATAATAAAGTTTTGTTATTTATTATTATTATATTCATCATCCATTATTGAAGTGTACCCATACCACGAGCTAAAGGGTTACCTAATGGACCAGAGTACGAGTTTTGAGTTGAAGTGTAAAGATTTACGTTACTTCAGCAGGACTGATCTCTTCTTCTAACAGGCAGATCGTGAATTTGCAGCGCTACAACCATGGCCTTTTCATAATCTTTTGATCAGTTCGTGGGAGAAAATTAAGGAGTACAGGAGTAAATATGCCTTGATTGAGCTGAAAGTTGGTAGTTACATAGGTACACTAAGAACTCAAAAAGCACTGTAACTTATTGAAGTCACAACTTCAATTTTTCTCAAAGCGGCGGCTCAATAGAGTCAGCATGTGCATGGTTCCTACTTGCTTGATAGATGTATGGAATTCATTCACTAGATCTGACTATGATGTGTGTACCTATTGTCTTTTAAGCTAGGCGATTTCCTTACATTCTAATTATTACTACTATCAAAGTGACAATATAAGAAAGTGTGTTGATATTTACTTAGGTGGTGTGGGAGCAGCGATGGGAATCGTGACTTCAGACTTTAATGGTGCTTGTGGTTCGTTAATAAAGTGTTCCACTTCACTCTTGTACTCTGGAACTTTTGCGGGACTACTCCTAATATGAGCATAAAATGCAGAAATTAGTAAAAAAAAGAGGCAAAACTTGGTTTAATGTTTTGTATAAGTAACCATAGGGGATGCAAAACATTATTTTCTGCATCCTGTTACTATGTGGCAATCTTGAAATTTCTTTGAAGTCTCGAATGAACCTTTAGCATTTACCCCTTTCTTAACACCTCTGATATTTTAATGTTTCATGTTACTCAAAGTGGACCCTCAAGTTAGACCTCCTTTCAAGTAAGTTCCAAAACGATGATTCTAAATGATAAAATCTATTACAACACGGATTATTGTAGACTGACTTCTTAGTAAACATTTTTGTGACAGTTCCCAATCAGCACTGAGCAACAAAAATATTGAAATAAAATTGAGATTTTTTAAACCACGAAATTGCGATATTTTTACATCGTTTGGTCAGAAAATGCTGATTTCAAGTAATCAGTAGAATGAGTTCCATGTAATGGGAGGATAGATAATTGTCAATGCAGAGTGAAATTACAACTTATCATGATTCAACTCCAAGAAATTTGAATAAGAGGAGCCCCTATAAGTGGTAGACAGACACCATATACAACGCTCCAATGCAATGGCGATATCTTTATAACTGAATTGCAAACTATTGCAACTTATGATACTTGTATCCTTACTGTGAAAATGAGCTAATTCATTTGTTTAGTTTCTTCTGCTCTGTAACAACCTTCCCGGCTGCAAAAGTCTCCCTATTATAAAACAGTAAGGCTTTCTTTAATGACGAGAGTTGCATAGAAAGACTGTTAACTAATTAAAAATAAGTCTCTGACAATGATGCTGATTTTTCAAACCTGTTTTCAAAAGAATTGCTACAAGGGCTTGGAAGGAAAACTTTAAGCTAGTCGACAAAAACGCATTTAAAAAACAATTTAAAAAAAAAAAATATGAGAAGCGCTAGAAAACTTACACAGGAGGGGCTAGAACAATTTCAGCTCTGGATCTTTTTCTGTGCTGAATAGTTGCCGCTTTGTTCTCTCCATCTGCTGAAATCGCTTGGCTAATAACCTACAAATACCCAATGAAGTGTAAAAGGTAATTAGAATTTTAATTTTTATCGAATATTACACATGACATTTTCTTTTGTCTTTTTCTTTTATTCCAGGCTTGCTCAATTCTCATAGGTATAAATTGCAACTTTCAGTTAAAAAGAACAAGAAAACAATGAGTAGGTATGGATTTCATTATTCATCTTTTGTACTTACTCATTATTTAGACATAATCATGCTCACTTGAACTATGTGCAAATGACTTAGATCAAAAGAAACTATTTGCGTAGGTTTTGTGTGCAACATGATTATTTTTTAATGGAAAAAATAATCATGGAAAGTGAGGAAAAATAATAAGAATAAAAAAATAGGAAAAGTGAGTTGAATGTTAGACTTTCCTCTTTAATGAGCTTAGGAATTTTTCAGGGTTGTTTTTCAATGATATTAAGCCACAAAAAAAGGGTTCAAGTTGCATATTTTGAGGATTTAGGGATGTTGGGTCCGAACTTTTAACGTCCAAAATGCAACGTCCAAGGGTCCAAGATGTAATGTCCACATTTTAGAGGTATGAAATAGGCAAACGCGTTACAACCAATTTTAAAAAAAATGTACCAAGAGTGAGCAGGGGAGCTATGCGCAGGAAAAACAACTTAGCGCTGAACCCTAACCCTTCAGGTAAAATAGCGCTCACCAAAGGGAGTAAAGCTGAGCTGTACCAATAAAACAGCACTTAAATATATTAAATGGGCCTGTTGCAAACTTTTGCTAGAGCAAAAATAAGAGCCGTTTCTTATAGATAATGCCTCAAAAATCACGATGAGCGCATCTGCAATGTCTGAAATGCACTCATAACTTCACAGTCTGCATAAGAAATTTGCGGTTTTTTGAGCTTCCCGCTTCAAAAGCGATACTACGGCACAGGTGAACATTTTGTAAAAGGAGTCGTTCCATCGTCGGCAATACTCATCATGGCCGACGCCAATCCGCCAAAACACGTGTGATGGGACGAGATAATACCTGAACTGGATTAGACCAGATAACAATCGGCGTGTTTTAACGTTCATGTTTTCCACGCCCGAATTGATTGACCTTGAACTCTCCTCGAATTAATTTAAAGTTGAACTTATTTTTATTGGGCTGCATTATGTTGATGAAATTACCTTTCTCCCGATCACTTTTTATCCGGTTCTCAGACGATAGCTATTTCGATGTTAATCATCATCATCAGGTCACTTCGACTTCGACTTCGGTAAACACTAACAGTCACATCTTATATTGTTAAAATTTTTGGTGTTAATAAGGGCTAAATTGGGTTTTTTACTAAAGGTAATTTTATGCTTTCTCCCCTCTTGCACAGTTTTCTGAATTTCTTCTGAAAGTTAAAGAACACCTAGCCAGTGCCCGTCTTCAAAAATCGGGTAAATCGTCGTTGGCAGATCATTTAATAAGCACTAAACATGACCCGGAAGCCACGGAAGTACAAGTAAAGAAAAAATGCGCCAAAGGAAAGAGAATGAACCTTTATGAGCAATTTTACATAGAGTCCCAGAAAGGTGACAACCTGCACAATAACCAACAAGAGAGTGAGGTGGCAACACTGGTAGCCCCTCCAATCCTACTCAGAGATATGCGCACGCACCAACAACGAACGGGCATCTCGATGACGCAACGGCCGGAACGCCGGTGATAAGAACGCGTTCGCGACGGGTGCACCCACGAGTTTTTAAAGTGTTTTATAGTAAATTTTAACAATATAAGATGTGACTGTTAGTGTTTACCGAAGTCGAAGTCGAAGTGACCTGATGATGATGATTAACATTGAAATAGCTATCGTCTGAGAACCGGATAAAAAGTGATCGGGAGAAAGGTAATTTCATCAACATAATGCAGCCCAATAAAAATAAGTTCAACTTTAAATTAATTCGAGGAGAGTTCAAGGTCAATCAATTCGGGCGTGGAAAACATGAACGTTAAAACACGCCGATTGTTATCTGGTCTAATCCAGTTCAGGTATTATCTCGTCCCATCACACGTGTTTTGGCGGATTGGCGTCGGCCATGATGAGTATTGCCGACGATGGAACGACTCCTTTTACAAAATGTTCACCTGTGCCGTAGTATCGCTTTTGAAGCGGGAAGCTCAAAAAACCGCAAATTTCTTATGCAGACTGTGAAGTTATGAGTGCATTTCAGACATTGCAGATGCGCTCATCGTGATTTTTGAGGCATTATCTATAAGAAACGGCTCTTATTTTTGCTCTAGCAAAAGTTTGCAACAGGCCCATTGATAAATGTAAAGAAGATATTTAACAATCATTGGTAAAAAAAAGGAAGAGATAGAATAATACATATACAGTAATCATCTTACTCCCGCAGTATAGTCACATTATACAGGGTGATCCAAGAGTCCCTTCCACCCCCTCTAAATTTTTACCTACTTGAGGTAAAGATTTGAAACTTGGGGGATAATCCTAGATCAAAGGGAGCTACTTTTTGACCCCCCTAAAATTTTCAGGGGGGCTCCCCTTGGGGGGCAACGGCCCCGGACTTTTAATTTTCAAATGGGAAGACCTCCTTTGTGATAGCTCGTTCGAAAGAGCATAAAAAAAGAAAACTTTTCGCGCAAACCCGAAGTCAATATCTCAAACCGTTTCAAAATGGCGGCCGGTTAAAGTTCAAAATGGCCGAATATTCACACCGGTTATTAGTCGATGGATTTGCGCGGAAATCGGTGTGTTGGGGTATTTTGACACGAGAAAAACGAATTTGACGTTAGATTTTCAAAAAAACCCAAATTTCCAAAATGGCCACCGGTTAAAGTTTAAAATGGCCGAAAATTGTCACCTCGGTTTTTTCCTGATGGATTTGCCTATAACTTGGAATTTGAGAGTATTTTGGCATAAGATGAACAAATTTGAACTTAGATTTCTAAAAAAATCAATTTTTGGTCATTTTGAACTTTAACCGGTGGCCATAATGGAAATTTGGGTTTTTTTGAAAATCTAACGTCAAATTCGTTTTACTCGTGTCAAAATATCCCTACATACAGATTTTCGCGCAAATCCATCGACAAATAACCGGTGTGAATTTTCGGCCATTTTTAACTTTAACCGGCCGCCATTTAGAAACGGTTTGAGGTATTGACTTCGGGTCTGCGCGAAAAGTTTTCTTTTTTTATGCCCTTTTGAACGAGCTATCACAAAGGGGGTCTTCCAAATTGAAAATTAAAAGTTGGGGGCCGTGGCCCCCCAAGGGGGGCCCCCCTGAAAATTTTAGGGGGGCTAAAAAGTAGCTCCCTTTGACCTAGGATTATCCCCCAAGTTTCAAATCTTTACCTCAATTAGGTAAAAAGTTAGAGGGGGTGGAAGGGACTTTTGGATCACCCAGTGTAGTACAGCTTTAGGGTCCAGCCCTCCAGGCTGTAGGGCTCAGTGCTACTGCATGTAGTAGGCACTATTTTACCTTAGCTTTTAGCTCAGTACTAAGTTGTTCTTTCCATGTGCATTTCCTTGTGCGGGAGGTTCATGACTGTGGGCAGATTGTCCAATAAAAATTTGAATCACATTCCTCCTTCCGTTTGCACCTCCATTGAATTGGCGTCTCCTACTTATTTTTGGAGTGATAATGATAGAGGAAATTATCATGACTCAGAATATTTATTTCCTTCTTTAGGAGGTTATAAGAGTGACCATTACAATGAAAAAAGAAGGTGGAAAAGAGGAAAATGTTTCAATGTTTCCAATATTAATGAACACTGATACACTGATACATTTTTTAACACTGATAGAATTTTGAAGTCATAACAACCAGTTCACCAACTGTAAAGTACTATTGTGAGGACCAATTAGAAGAGAATAATTCTAGAGAATCTACCCTACCTAAACTTTCTTAGACTTTCATTTTTGAACCTTTTTGTAGGTGGACAACTTACTTTACAAACGTTGATAGGTTGGACTGGACATTTACGAGGTCTGTTCAATAAAAAACCGGATTTTGGTGATAACTAGCCCACAATGCCCCCGAATTAGGTTTTCTTGGACTTTCCTGATAGCTGATAACATAATGAAGATCGCAAGATTTACAGATTTTGATTATTTTGATCAGTGTTCATTCTGTGTCACCATGAATACGAGTAAGTCAGGTGCATTCTGCGATTTTCATCTTGCGATCACTGATAGAGCAAAGATTTGACATTAAATTTTGTTTTGAAGTCGGTATACCTTGTACTGAAACTTTTGGTATGCTAGGTAAAGTTTACCAAGATCATTGCATGAGTTGTTCTCACTGTTTTGAGTGGTTTAAAAGATTCAAAACTGGTTAGGAGTCTGTCGCAGATAAGGAGTATGGGAATTGACTGAAATTTGCCACATGGAAGAAGTGCGGGTAAAAGTGCCCGAAAATGGTCGTTTCGAACCAAAGGCATTGAATAGAGTAGACCGTGCACTCCCTATCTCCGCCGTGTCAGCTGAGCGAGGCCACTTCGGCGGGACTCCGTAATGGGCGGGCGGGGTGGGAGCTCGCGACTGAGCCCCACGCAGCATGAGCCGGCGTACTTGGAAAAATTAGTTGCGCGCTCGGATTTTCGCGAATTACCCGTTTCCACTTCATTTTTCGGCAAAATATACAAGGACCACATGTTAATAGCATGAAATTTACTTTTACTCTGAACAATTTTCGTTTCTCTACAGTCATTACTGACTGGAAAAAACGCTTCATAATTGAAAATATGAGGAAAGTGACCTGCGTATCAGACGGATGTTCTTATAATACGTGCAGCTTGTAAAGATGACGGCGTGGATAAGAAGTAATTTTGTAAAAGGTACAAAAAGGATTTAAAATGAGGTCAATCATATTAATCAAGGGTAAAAACGAGGAATAATGTTATGTATTGTACATAAAAAGGCATGTAAAAGTTACGAGAGAGTTACTTAAAGCTATTGTCCATCTTGATCTAAGAGAAAGATTTGATGAAAAGCCGAAAAAGAGGGGCAACGATTTCGGCAGTTTCAGAGTACCGAAATTTAAGATTATTCCACTGAAAAAGATAATGTTCAAGCATTATTATAAAACTAATTTGCGAGTCGCAACTTAATGTTTAATCTGCTCAAAAATTTCAAAATCAATACTTCCGTCACTTATTATGACTGGCGATCGTGGATACTGTTTATTTTCAAAAAGTATGAATAAGTAATTGCTCTTAATTCCTTTGCATTTTTAGGCGGCTCTGTGATTAAGTCGCTGCGCTCGAGAAGGGCACCTCTTTTTATCGATGTTCCAGAATCTATGTTGCTCATATTTGTTTAGAAGAGTAGTTTCTAATGGTAAATTTCAAATATTTTTTTCACAGAAAATTGCAGAATCATGAAAAATAACTCAGTAGAAATTTCAACGAAATCCATGAATTTCCTTCACTGATGAAATATTAGTAGAGATTTTGAACCACCACAACCAAGAAGTGCCATTCTTGCACCCAGAGCCTCAATTTTTCTGCACATTGCAGTGTAGTGAATTCTATGAAATGAGTTTTTATCATGTCCTTACTTTCCTCTATAAAATTAAAAAAACACAGCACTTATGCTATGTTTTCAGCAAAATGCTGAGGGCTTTTACTTAATATTACATTTATCACAAATAAATATCACAAACTGAAACAACACTATTTTGAAATTGATGACACTATGTTGACTACAATTTTCAATGAAGAACTGTTATTTCTGGCTCATCTTAGGAAGAACAAAATGTGCCATTAGTTCATGATCCGTTGTTGTGTCGTGTGTTAGTTTCCTGTGTAGATAGGTAATAAAACAAATAAACCAAAAATAGTAGCTCCTTAGGGCTAAATGTAGTCAAAGTTTAAAAATTATCATCGGGACATAATAATTCTTGTTTCTTGCCCGGATCATCAAGAATTTGCTCATGTAAGCATACCATAAATTGAGAGTTGTGTGGTGTTTAATCATGAAAACTAAAACACATCTTCACACAGAAACATTTCATTATAATTAAAGAACACATCAGCCGAAAAAATTCGCACTAATCAATTAATAACTAAAGATTTCGGAGCCGAACCATACCAACCTCGTATAAGCGCACTGTTCATTTACCGCGAGCTGGGGACGGCTGGGGCTCACTACCTCACCAGTGCCATTTCGGTGTTCCCGCACTCATCCGTCGGTGCGGCATGCGAATGGAAGAGAAGTGGCCACCGCTCCATTTCACAGCGCACAGTCTACTCTACTCAATGTCTTTGTTTCGAACTTGCTGAACAATGTGATATTTCTGAAGGCTCTGTAGATACAATTTTGATAGAATATTTAGACATGCATCGAGTTTCAGGTAAACTTGTCCTGTGATTGCTGTCCGTTGAACAAGAATCTAACCGAATGTCAATTTCTCTTTAGCTTCTTGAACGTTCTAACAATGATCCTACATTTTTGGATAGGATAATTTTCGATGGCAAAACTTGAGTGCACGGCTACGATATGGAGATGAAATTCCAATCATTCGTGTGGGCTGAAAAAGGTAGTACAAGACCGAAAAAAGAGAGACAAGTTCGGTCAGCCATAAAAATCGGAGAACACCCATGAGGTTGCATTACTTCAAGCCCTGTACCAACTAAGCTAATTAAGATTTTTCAAAATTGTGAATGTAGCATTCTTAAGTATATTATTTTCAGCTATCAGGAAAGTCCAAGAAAATTAATTCGAAACTAAAACAATCCGAGTTTTTCAAAACAATAGTTTTTCATCCGAGAATTAGTTCCCGAAAATCAGGGAATGGGCATGGTGTTAAGAATTCTATACACCATGGTCTAAAGAGTACCCTACAAGGGAAGGATATTTCCGGACGCCATTTTGGCTTTCTGGTCGATGCACGTTTAAATGTAATCGACCTGAGTGCACTCACTTTTTTCCAATAATGCAAGAGCTGAAAATTACTTGACGATCTTATTAAAACTATGAAAGGAGAGATTGAGCCTTGCATGAAAATATTATTACCTTTACAGCATTTTTAACTTTGGCTTGATGAGTGGGGTCTGGGTCTGTAGGAGAAGCTGTGGTTGCACTAGACGATTTCAACAGAGAAGACTCAGAGCTTCTTTTGGTAATTTTCTCGGTTGGTTTTGTAATAACTGCATTATCATGCGACTTATTGGAAGGAGTTTTTGGATTCTTTTCCTTTACTTCATCTGGCGATTTCTTAACACCAGAAGCAAGCACCTCATTTGTAGCAGAAATGGAAGACGTTCGTGAAACATCAGCAGAACTACAGGGAGTCACATCTTCTGATGATTTCTTAAGAGCACTTTCAGCCAATTTGTTAAGATTAATGGTCGAAGCAAGAGAGTACTTCATCTCTACAGAAGCAGCGGGGGAGGGACTCTTTGATTTTCCAGAGAAGCTTTTTCGTGAGGGTGATGCCCATGCAAGATTACTTGAAGACTCAACCAGGGAGGATTTCCTCTCATATTCACGTTTAGCATCACCCACTTTAACCCCTGGAAGAAATATTTTCTTCTCAGGTTTGTTGACCGTTGTGTTTTTAAGAGAAGCGAATTTTTCCGCTGCTTCAGATACTTTGGAGCATCTTCTTTCATTTAACTTAGGTTTTTCAACATTATGATCACTATCACCTCTTTCCAACAGTGGTTCTTGCGTGGGCTCTTTGTGTTCTGTCCTTCTCTCAGTTGAAGCAGGAACTTCTTTTACATCCAAAGAGTACTTTTCTGGGTCTTTAAAAACTTTACAAGCTTCAGTGTCCATCAAAGAGTTGTTAATCATTGTAATATTTTTTCTCAGTTTTTCAATATTTTCAGCATCATTTTCCAGGATTTCAGGTTGTAGTGCCTCTTCTCTGTGTATCATTTTCTCTTCTTTCTTTACAATTTTTTTTTTTTGCTTTAATCCACTGCCATCAGAGTCCACGGATGTTGAACTTTCCTTCTTTCTCGACCTACTACTAGACCTTTCTCTTTTAGATTTCATTTTTACTTTCACTTTTTCGACACCGGATGCATTTTTATCTTCAACAGGAGTGACAGATGGTTCTGGGCAGAGAAAGAAAAAAGAAATATAAAAATACAAATACAAGGTTCAACTAACTTTGCCTACACATGATTATGATTAAAAATCAGACACCAGAAAATCAGAACTTAGATTGTCGGAACTCCAAATTATCCAAACTAATTTTTACACTGCGGTCTTTCAGAGAGTAACTCATCACCATTGGTTCTTTTCTTCCGTTCTCTTACACATACGTACCCAGTTTTCCCTTTTAACTGTGCCTTTAGGAAACTTACTCTCCACTATTCTTTTCGTCCGTTTTCGTACACAAAATTAGATGTTGTCTTAAGTAACCTGGCAGATCATCCAAAACCACCACTGACCATATTACCACAGATAATTCAGCTTTTGCTGTATATTGAGACAACCCTGATAGAAGAAAAAGTAAAACAATTAGCGATACACTCCCGGATAGCAAATATCATTCTTACTGCTCCTTTACACGATAAAACTGCCCCACAGAAAACATTTGTCACTACACACCTATTATTTCAGGACAACAAAAACAAATTGATTCCTGCTACCAGCTCAAAAGGAAATGTATTAAAGGTACTTCTTGCTAAAATATCATGATTAAAAAATTAAGATTCTAAGTAGACTCCTGTAAAACTTATCTGTTTTAGTTTCTTTAATGCCATTAAGTTTAAACTTGAAAATTGCACTATTATTATTATTATTTTTTTTTTTTTTTTTTTTTTTTTTTTTTTTTTTTTTTTTTTTTTTTTTTTTTTTTTTTTTTTTTTTTTTTTTTTTTTTTTTTTTTTTTTTTTTTTTTTTTTTTTTTTTTTTTTTTTTTTTTTTTTTTTTTTTTTTTTTTTTTT